GTTTGGATGCAGACGTGAAAAACACACATACACAAAAACTTAAGGTGACAAGTGACCCAATCTTGGATGCCATTGGCTGAGGTGCACGGCAACAAACCAAACCCAAAAACCTAATTGGCTAGTTCGAGTGTCAATCAGAATTCTTCCATTTCTCTGTTACTGTGCCATATTGAAACAAAAGCCTCATATGAGAACCTGCAGCTTCATTCATCTGAATGTGTGAGCGGCTTGAAACGTGAACAAATCTGTCAGGTTTCGAACAAGGCTCGCATGCCACTGAGTTTATTATTTAAACTAATAAGCACAGAAAGGACAATCGGGATATAGCTGACTTCTCGGCTTTATTATAGACTTGCTGTTATCTATATGTATATCAAGATAACTATGCAAAAATGCGAACGCAGCTTAATGAATCTTACCAGCGACAGTCATCTTGATCGGAGGATTAATGTAAACTGCACGTATAGATTTGGCTCCTCCCAGTTCAACATAGCCGCGTGCCGTGCACGTCAACGAGCGCGCGCTGTACGTCTGACGTAAGCTCATGGGAGCTATATTACATAACTTGAGCAAATCAGTTTACCATAATACTGCTACTACGAATAATAAGCTTAATTTATACAGCATTTTTCATAAATACTGCTTAAATAAAGTGTATATGTAAGTGAAAATATAAAACTATACCGTATATAATCACTGAATATAATAAATTGTAATATGTAATAAATACACAAAATTAGAAGGCATTCGCTTCTGATCACCGTGTTTGAGTTTATTTTGCAACAGTGACTGAATGACTTAGAAGGGTGTAGATATGAAATCACAGGTGTGATGCTGATGAATAATGCTAGCACCATCATGTACAGAATGGAAAGAACATGTGCAACAGTCACTTCAAGTATACAGATGCATTATAAAATACATTATTGCACAGGGTTTTTTTTTTTTTTTAAAGAAACAATCATCTTCATGTATTAAAACTCAGAAATCATGAGCCAACAATGCTAAAAATATCTAAAATGGTTCAAATAACTTACTCGTACGTGGTAGTACTCAGAATGTACACATTTTCCTTTTCATTTTTCAAAGTCTTATATATCTGGATCACATTATCACAGTCTTTCCTGTGGTCTATACAGATGAATAAATCGATTAACACAAAACAAATCTCTATAAATATTTTTTCAGGAGAACCACTTCATTCGGTGACAATTTCTCACCCTTCACTTCAGGCACTGTAGATCCAACTGTTAGGAGAGGTTAGAGACCAATTCCATGACTGGATTGAGGTCTTCGGTGAGCTCTTCTGAGAGTGACAGTACCATTGATATCACATTTTGTGTAGACTCTGACACCCTGTGAAAAGTAGATTCATTAATTATGCTGGATTACTTTTGCTTGACTCTAACAAATGGAAGCAAAACCACTCTCACCAGCTCATGTGATGTGCTGGCAACTGAGGATCCAGCTTCGACCCGTCCTCTTTCGAAAGAGACATCTTCAGCAGCTTGAAATTGGCCTCAATATCCTTTTTTATGATGGATAATGGCAAAATATCTTTGAGAGAGTTTAGGACTTGCTGTAACAGAAACAAACAAAATGATACACAGAATCAACTTTCTTTGGTTTTGTTTTTTTTTGAAAAGGTCACATACTGTAGATAAAATGATGATCAAGTCAAACAAACTCACATGAATTGCTGATAGCTGATGTGCGATGTACTTATGACTGCCCAGATGTTTCACATCTTCATCTAACTGCTGACTGAGAACCAGCAGCTGATTCAGCCTCCCAATATGAGGAAAATAAGCTGGAATGATAAAACATTTCCCAATCAAACTGATTAATCAGCTATGCTTTATTAAAGAACACACTGATTAGGTGTAAATAAATCTTCCTGTGTTTAAAATATGGGAGATTCTAGCACTTTTGAATTGTTTGTTTGTTTTAATAGATTGTATATATTATACACATACTATAAATGTATTAAGGAGGCGAGCTCGCTAAATATTTTTAAAAGATAAACATTTTTTTTTTTAGAATTCACTTTTAACTACCAAATGACTTTTATGCAACATTCTATGATGTCTTTTATTATTACTATTATTATTTCCATTTTTGGTATGCATTTTATGTGTACTAATTAAATTTTGTATTATCATAAAGTTAATTTTTAATATGTTATATTAATTTACTAATATACTTGATGCTTTTTGTAATGTTTTTTCATTGTAAAGCACTTTGAGCTGCATTTTTTGTTTGAAAGGTGCTATATAAATAAAGTTTATTATTATTATTACCCACATAGAGTCTCAAGCACTGGGCAGTGAATGTTACTGTACCCAATTATCATTCTCCCCATTTATTCTGTGGTCTCACCATCTGAAGGTGGTCTTTCCAACATGTCAATAGGGCTGCCATGTATCATATAAACTTCAACTCGAGGGAATAGAGTGGATAATCCTACAACTTCCAAATACTCCTAAAGAAATGGAAATAAATGAAAACACATCATCCAGAAATTATAACTGGGTTAAAAGGAATGGTTAATGGTTTACCTCAAGCTGAAGCACCGGTTCATTGAGATGTTCAAGGCACTGGTTCATCTGATATATTATCTCAGCCTCTATAAACAGAATCAAATTTAGAGGTTGTAAACATATTTGATAGCAATTACCAATTTCGATTTTCAGTAAAAACTATTATTTTATTCCTAAGTTTACCTTGTTTTTGAAAACACTCAAACTCCTCAGGACTTGTGTCCTGTTTAAGCTGCTCCTGAAACTGCTAATTCAGATTAGACGTTTGAATGAGACAACACAAGATATATTCAGTGTTCAAAGATCTGAGCATCAGTGTAAGTGTCTCACCTGATGGACCTGAGCTCTGATCAGTAAGTCCAACTGGCTGCAGAGACACAGCATCTCCAGTGCCACCTGCTCACTGCTTAGGTGGATGGGCATCAAGGGCTTCCTCGCGCACACTTCAACTGCAAATATTACATAATCGAGAAATAAAACATGAATGCATTCATATTCAGTCAGATGATCATTTCATTACAAATGCAACTATTATTGAAGAGCTCGGTATTACCTTTGAAATGTGGACTGTAAGAACAAGGTTTGCAAAGCGGATCCGTCAGACTCACTGCTGCCATTGTCACCTTAATAATCCCACCGGTGACTCAGATTCATATGATTAATACTGCATTTATTGGTTTATTCATCCATTAATGGTGTTTGTCATTCTCATGGCAAAGGTTGGGCTTTTCAGTGGTCCTCCTCTCCATGGTGTTCACTCACACAGCGGCATGAGATGTAAACATAAACAAATCTGGTGAACGACGAGAAACCACGAAACGTATCGTTGTTCTGTGGATCTGCACTGAACTACCTGCCATAGAAACAGAATAAAGTGGTTAGAATGGCCATTTTTATGACACGAATGACTGAATGGGCGGAGCTTGGTCCAAGCGTTGTATTTCTTGCATGAGTCGAAATAGCTTCTTTTTTATTTGAACTTTAACATTGTGTATTTTCAATTCATTTACTTTTTAACGTTTCATACTTATCTATTTAGGTAGGTTTACACCTTTTTGCAAACCGATAGTGAAGCAGCAAATACAGAAGTGGCACGAGGTGTTTTTTTCTCTGTGCTTTTAAGGATGGGCCAACCACAGTCTGGGTGAGAATTTCTGAGGTGAAATGCTGTTTTATGTCATACAAATAAATTTAATCGCCTATCATTTTTTAACTTAACCCTCTGGTATTGTTCATTTGGGATCAAAAGTGACCGAACACGTGAAATGTAACTTTTTCTTATTTTCAGTCAAATCAATGTAATATATTTTGTTCAATAATACTTTTTCATGAGAGAATTAATGAGAGAATTTCATGGTCCAAATAATATTTATGCAATAATTATGATCAATTGTTGTGTAATTATGATTGATTTTGTTTCTAATATTTTTATATTACTTTAGTTTTCAGTTATGGCAGTATTTCATGTTAAAATAGAGACAATGCCGAAGTAAGAAGTAATAAAAGAAGAACACCTGCAATTCCATTGTTTAGCCACTAGATACTTATTTAGCCCTATATAAAAAGGCTTATAAATTCTCTATTTGTTTTTAGACTTAAATACTTTCTTTTTTTAAGTTGTGGATTTGGATATATATTTAGACATTCTCAAAGACAACTTTTTTGTAAAGGTATAGATTTTTTTGTTTGAAAAGTTGGTTTGAAATGTCAGTTTTTGCATTAATTTTACTACAGTCAAACCTGAACACTAAGACATTTTGTTACACACCAAAATTCAACAAAAATGTAACAAATGAACAGGAATGCTTTATCAGAGGTTAATCAATCTGATTTCAACCTCTTATTTAAGTCTTCTGGCTCAATTTTGCCATATTGGTACAGCCACACCAGTTCATTTTTGTGTGTATAATAGTGTGTTGTGTGTGTGTGTGAGTGTTTGAGTGGGTATGTCTGTTTTGTATTTTTGATGGTTTAGACTAGTGTAACCCCTTCCTTGGTGTCTGTGCAGTTTTTACTGCATTGTGGCTTAATTATTGATTTTATTTCACGCATTTGCAAAAACATGCGTTGTGTTACAGTCACACTAGTTCATACCATTTTAAATACATTTTTATGTATAATTTTATACATATATTGTTCTAAAAAAAAGTACCCATACAAATTTACAATATACAATAATTTGTATTTAAATGCCAGACAAAGAAGGATAACTGTTTTAATTTTGTTCTCTAAATATATTTAATTTCACTTTATCAATCAAAGAATCATTAATAAAAGGATGGAGCTATTTCCAATGTTTATTAAATAGTAATAAACATACACATGAAAAATCTTAAGACCTGTTCCATGATTCCAATGAATTATAATAAAACACTGCTTATTTAGAAGTTGTCACGCATATTTAAAGTGACAGGTATACTAAGAAATCAAAGTAAAAAAACAAAACATTTAAATAGTGTGCTGATAAAGAAAACAATACTTACACAGTACTGATATCTTGTATTACAAAAAACAGACAATAATTTTTCTGCAAAGTTTCAAATAAAAAAAAAATACAGCTGTAGTTAAACATTTTTTCTATCACAATCATTTCCTCAAGAAGTGCATCTGAAAAAAACAAATCCGTTAGCAGAACTTTGCCAAGCTATTTTAAAAAAGAAGTCCTGCTTTTGTCACAATTATTCATTTACATGCTTCATAACACAAAACAGCAATAAGTTCCATCATATTTCTGCTCCTTTTTGTGACAATATGATACACCAGCAGAAGAGTCCATTGGCTGCAGCAGAAAACCTGAATTTCCCTTGAGTTAGAGCTGAATTGATTTACTGATCAGTCTGGTGAAGTTTCCTAAGAGACACCAAGTTATGGCCGTCCACCAGGATTCAGCGTGAGATTAGCCATGAGCTCATGAACCGCTGCAAATATTGTGCACTCTCCTGTTGAAAAAAAAGAAGCTAGCATTAAAATTGATATGTAAATATAGAAACATTTAATGTTAAACAAATAACTGAGAAATATTATATTCTGATTTCCATATCAATTTAAATATTCATATTCAACAAAACAGATGTGCAAACCTTGTCGTGGTGGATGGTGCTCATTGAACCTCCTGAGGATGGAGCTGACCATCAGGGCCGCGGCTCCCGAAGAGCTGTGCTGGCGGGGGATATCAGCCTGCTGGGTCAGTCCAGTAGCCATGTCATACACAATAGGCACTATGATGCTGATGGGCTCCTGCGGTACCGGTAGCCTCTGGGTCAGCTGGAGCTGTGGAAGAGCATCACTTCAAGTTAATACATGTTAGGAATCCATAGTAAACTCAAACCACAGCCCACACACAAGTTGCTGGGCGTACAATGGCCGGAATATTAGTGTAATAACAAAATTAGAATTCAGGACATGGTGATATAGGGTGAGATCATATTTTAACCATTGGGAATTGGTCGTATAGTGAAAGGAGACATTGCAAACCAGAATGGAATGATTGAAGCACTTACAAAAAAGAGCATCTTGGTCTTAAGCACCACAGCAATGGTTCCTGGTGGGGCAATGGGAGGAGCGCTGGGTGGGATGGTCAGACAGAACTGCACATTCCAATTCAGCTGGGCCGCTTGGTCTGGGAACTAGAGGAAAAACAATGGGCCAGTGAGCTTCCAAATGAACAATACCACTCAAAAGTTTAGGAAGTTATTTTTTTTATTGTTTTGGAAAGAGGTCTCTTATACTAACCAAGGTAAAAACAGAAATATTGTGAAAAATTACAATTTAAATACCTGTTTTCTATTATAATATATTTACGCATTTTATTCCTGTGATGGCAAAGCTAGATTGTTGCTTAAAGCTTTACATTTTCAGAAGCCATTATTTCAGTCTTTAGAGTTACATGATGCTTCAGAAATCATTTTAAATATGCTGATTTGGTGCTTAAGTGATACTTTCTTTCAGGATTTTTTTTTTTAGCATTTATTTGAAATCTTTACTGACCATATTAATGTATCCTTACTAAATAGAAGTATTAATTAAAAATCGAATTGACCCCAAACTTTGGAAACGTAGTGTATGCTTGCACACGACCAAAAAGAAAAAATTCAAATAAACATGAACGTGCTTACCAACTCCAGTTTCATGATGCGAACACAGTCTCTGAGTATGTTGGTGGGAGCTCCCAACAGCTTTGTGAAGGCATTTAGTGTGTTGTATTTAAAGGGTGGTCCTGCAACCTACGGTGAAAGTGAAAGAGAATGACTTGCATTTGCATGACTGCAGAATACCTGGCTTGATGGTATGGCCAAGATGGCTGCTGAGTGAACATATTTGCTTTAAATATGAAAAAAAAAATGCACAGCTAATTGCAACCAACAGAATAGTGAAGATAAGTGTTTTCAAACTAGTTTTAAACAGGTAGTCCCAAACTGACATTAAGCCAGTGTTGTTAAATCAGGATGAACAGGACATTCAAACAAACACATTACAATTCTCTCAGCTGCTACCTTCTAATACATAAACTGAACAAGAGGAAATTAGACCTTCATGATAGTTAGTGAGTTGATGCAGTGAGTTTTTTCCTACCCTGGTCTCAAAGAACTTCTCCAGGACCTGCAGCTCCTCCTGCGACCAGGGTCCAGTGTTTTCTGGTGTGACTTTCAGCTGCAGAGTCTGGTAGGTTTTGGGGTTTAGAGCCACTCTACATTTAAGCACTTCTGTCTTAAACATGATGACGCCTGGTTCGTTGGAGTTCACAATAGTAAGCTGTTAAGAGAAGGTAATCGAGAGTGATGCAAATACAGTGTATAAGCAGAATCATATCACTCTGACTGGTTAAATTATGTGGTTATAACAGTTTCTGACTCACATTGGGTTCTAACTGTATAATTCTCTGTAGGTGGCGTCTCATGATGACAGAACCCAGGAAGCGCTCCAGAGGTGAGCACAGGTAGCTGCCCGCCAGCCCTGGCACTGGGCATGGCATGGGTGAAGGCAGAAGCAACACATGTAGTTTGCTGTGGGTGAGGATGGTGGGAATAGAAGCGGCCCAGGACCGCTGTGGCAGTTTACGGGGTGGAGGCATTGCCTGTGAACCTAAACACAAACACACATAGTGATTGATTGAACAAAATCAACTACTGCTTATTGCTGGAAGTCATATGAAACGCAAATAATGTTAAATTCTCTCATTTACACTACTTTATTATTTATTTTTTTGGAAATTTGTAGTTTTATTAAGCAAGGACATGTTAAATTGATCAAAAGTGACAGTAAAGACATTTATAATCTTACAAAATATATACAATATATATATATTTTTTACATTCTATTCAACTAGAATCCTAAAAAATGTATCATGGTTTACACAAAAATATTAAGCAGCACAACTGCTTTCAAAATAAGATGAATTGTTTTTTGAGCACCAAATCAGCATAATAGAATGATTTCTGAAGAATCATGTGACACTGAAGACTGGAGTAATGGCTGCTGAAAATTCAGCTTTGCCATCACAGGAATAAATTAGTAAATTCAATTTAAATTATGTAAAAAAAAAAAAAAAAAAAGCTATTTTGATGTTTTTGAGTTTTACCTTGGAGAGCATAACAAACTTCAAAAACATTAAAAAATCTTTACAAATCAAATTTTTGAATGTCGAGCCTAGGACAAACTAAGTAATTATCGGGAGGATCTAGGTTATATTTTACCCCAAAATCAAAAGAATTCATAATAAATACTGAGCCATCTATTTTTGATGTCTACCTTTACAACCATCAAGATATTCTTCATTGCAGCAAAGCCAATTAAGCAGAAAACCTCTAGCTGCAATTTAATAATAATAATAATAAATAATAATTCTCATTACTGTAATGTGGAAAAAAATATGTATATTTAAAAAATAATAAGTAAAATACTGATCTTATCGTGTTCTGATAAGATAGATCAGTCTTTAGACTCTCTGGACTTACTGGTACCAGCTCGAGGAGAGTGGGATGGGTCTGGAATAGGTGAGTGCAAAGAAGGGTTGCCTGGTGACATGCCAGGGATTCGTGCCCCGGGAGAGGGTCCAGAGACCTGCGGAGAACCTGGCCATGGCCCAACCCTTGGGCTGGCGGACACCATCGTGTATGGTGAACTGGGGTCAAGAGTTCCTGAAACACAAATGAAAGACATTTGGACCATAACTCACCATCTCAAGGAGTGTCAGCTTCCATCGATGTACACAGATTTTACTCCATGGCAGTAACGGTGCTCAACACAACCCCACAAAAAGACATCCCTACTGCGAAGTCAGAGCTGCTTCTATTAAGTACCGTACAATGATGATTTTGTATGATTAACACAAGGCAAAAGAGATTTAAACTGATTCACTTTCACATGAATTCAACTGCAGACCGATTATGATATTTTGAAGCATCAAAATTTACTGAATTGGGACGTACTGTGACTAATGTGAGATAATTGACAATATTGTACAAAAATACACTATCATTCAAAAGTTTGGGGTCAGTAAGTTTTTTAACTTTTCATTTAAAAAGTTTAGTTTTAAAATACATTTATATTACAAAAACATTTCCAATTAATGTTGTTCTTTTGAACTTTCTCTTTCACCAGAGAATCCTAAAAAAATGTATCATGGTTTCAACTTTCTTTCTTGAGCACCAAATGAGCATGATTTCTGAAGGATCACGTGAAGACTGGAGTAATGGCTGCTAAAAAAATAAAAATAATAATAATAATAATTGCATCTTAAAAATATATTAAAATAGCAAACAGTTATTTTAATTGTAATATTATTTTACAATATTACTGTATTTTTGAACAAATAAATGCAGCCTTGGTGGGCATAAGTGACTTCTTACACACCCCAAAATTGTGAATAAAATAAAATAAAAATAAAAACAATTTTTCCTTTGTATTTTTTTTTCTTGAATATAATCATGCATATGATTCGGACATAGATGTTTTGTTTTCCAAGTCCCACCAGTCAAAGAAGCAGAGAGAAGCAAGAAATAATCAAGAAAGTAGGGATGTGCATCTCATGACTCAGGCCGATATGATACGCATCTCGATGCATAGCCAACGATACGATACATTAAAGATACATATGAAGCAGCTACCGATGCGATGCAATACGATTCACCCCTATTACGATGCAGTGCGATCCGATTTCGATTCGATTCAACACAATGCGATTCGATGCAATATGATGCAATGGAGAAAATGTGATCACTTTGAATGCCTCGAGGCCTGTTTCATAAAACAAGTTAACCAAATAAGCCAGGTTTATTTCAGTTAGTCTGACTCATTGTCAAATGATTTGGTTCCATAAAGCAAATTTAACATGGGCCTAGATCAAGCTTAGTCACTGTGGCAACTTATGCTGGGAAACTAACCTGGTCTAAAGCAGGCTAACTGTCAGGCTAAGCTAAGCTCCTCTACTGACCAATAGGAACACAATGATATTACCACTGTCTCACATACTATTATTTGCCTTTTTTTTTCTTTTTTTTTTTTTACAGTTTCTAGCCATGCAGCCTTTCTCTCTGGTTTTATTACAGCTGTACCTTTTAGTTTGCAGAACAGATAGCAGCACATTAGAACATTACAATCTAAAATGGCTCTTTAAAGCATTAAAATAACTAAATTAAAAGTTAAAATCACTGAATTAAAAATGAAAATAAATAATAAAAGAAAATGACTACATACATGGTACGGGTTGGGGGGCGATGTGAGGGGTGGATAAACCCCTCTGCCTGGAGGCTGCGTCTGGGGGTGGGGCATGAAGGTGTCATCCATGCTTGTCGGGGAGGGAGGGTTGTCGTCCTCGTTGACCGAGCGTCTGCGGGCGTCTTGGTTATTATCCACAAACATGTTCAAGAAAGTCTTCGGAAAATCATGGAAAAAGTGACAATTACGGCCATGCACACCTCTACTGCAGCGGTTAAAGGGACAGTCCAAAGAAAAATAAATTTGTCATAATTTACTCACCCTCAAGTTATGTTTGCAAACAAACAGTTTTGATTTGAACCCCTTGATTACCACTGTATGAAAAAAAAAAGGCCTATGATGGAATCAGTGGGAATCAAAACTAATTGGTTATTAAAATTCTTCATAATATCTTCTTTTATGTTCCACAGAAGAAAGAAAATCAAGTACAATACAAGTTTGGAATGACATGAGAGTGAGTAAATGATGACAGAATTTGCTTTTTGGGTGACTATCCCTTTAATATGTTTAATATTTTTGATCCACCCACCTTCAGTCCAGGGGCAGGATAGAAACCTTCAACTATCTTGGTATTGTCAAAAAGACTATAGGCCCCATCACGGATAGCCACTACACCTCTGCTACGGCAGTAGATGTCAATGCAGTACATGTTGCGGAAGGCCAGACGGATGTGAGTGGGTGACTGAGGCAGGATGGAGAAGCACTGGTATGCCGTATTGGTCCTTTGGGTGAGACCCAGCATAGGCACTGTGGGTAGTTTGTTGATGGCATTTAGAGGAGCTTGAGTGTCTGAGAGGACCTGAGAACAGACAAGTATGTGAGAATACTACCAGCAGCTGCTAATGAATAGCGATATATTGCCAATATCCACTCCAAATCGGTCAGTTAACAATTTTATGTTTTAAAAACATATTGACAATATGTTAAATGTAAATAAAAATACAATATGGTGAATATGAATACAAATACAAATAATACAACTACAAAATACAGTTCAATGACCAGTGACCGCTTGAATTTTAGTAAGTAAATGAAGTATGACATTTAGTGTCAAGGCTCTAGATACCTGTAGAAGTTGTACTACATTGGGTGTCTTGTTGAACATTTCTTGAAGTTGGTGGAGAATTATGTTGTGACAGTTGCTACAGCCTGAATTGGGCCCCACAGTCCCCAGGGCCAGATGGTAACGCTGGGTTACTGAGTTCCACTGTATCGTCACCTGAAAGAAACAGGAACTTGTAGTAAATGAAACTAGTGTGATTTAAACTAAATCACTAAATAAAGAGATTAAAGACCTTTAACATCTGCATTTTAACAAGATGAAAAGGTTTTTACCGAGCTGCCTTTGGTGTTGCCATAGCACAGAACCAGCTTTCGGTAATTGTACAGCCGTATCTCTGAGAAAAGGCTCAAATAGGAGGAAATTTCTGGAAAATGTAGATTATTAATTATTAACTTCAAACCATTCATAAGTCAAGTGTTTTTTCATACCTATAATAACATTCAAAGGTTTGGGGTTGGTAAGATTTTTTTTATGTTTATGAAAGAAGTCTTTATGCTCACAAGTCTGCATTTATTTGATAAAAACATAGTAAAACAGTAATATTGTGAAATTATTAAAAATTAAAATAACAAAACTTAAAATAAAATTGTATTAAAAAAAAAATCTATTTTAATATATTTGTATTCCTGTGAAGGAATTTAAAATAGATGTAATAATTGAATACTTCAAATGTACTATGGCACCAAAAGAATACAAATCATAGCTAGCATGGTTATTACAAAAACTCAAATTAAAATGCAAGAGATGCAACTAGTTAGAACAGTGGTACCTACCAGGTAAAGCGCGTGAGAACTCCAGCACACATTCATAAAGCTGACTAATGCTGTTCCAGTCGTTCAGGAACATCTCCACCACCTTCCTGCCACCCACCGGCTCCGAAAGAGGATTCTCATAAGTCAGGTAGACATGCCGCGTGGAAGCTGAGTTGAAATAGACAGAAAATATTGTAAAAGACACATACTTAACTTTTTAAAAAGCTGTTAGAGGAAAATTAACTATCCTTACCTTGCTCTTTGTTGGCTGTGCTGTTGAGTGGACAACTGGAGAAAACTAAATCCGCCACCCATGTGCGATTATTCCGGCCCTGTAGTCTGAACGTACAGTCCAGCAGGGAGCGCTCCAGAGCTTTTCTCGTTTCCTTACTCACTCCCTTACAATGTGGAACTCTGAGGTAGAGAAGGAAAACAATTGATAAACTACCATCAAAAGTTGGGGTCAGTAAGATTTTTTTTATACATTTTTGAAAGAGGTCTCATCCTCAGCAGGCTTGCATTAATTTGATTTTATTTTTTTTTAAGTAAAAACTGCAATATTGTGAAATATTTTGTATACTAATATTTTTTATAATTGAAAAATGTTTTAATATATTTTAAAATACAATTTATTCTTTTGACACCAAAGCTGAATTTTCAGCAGCCATTACTTGATGCTCAATAAACATTTCTTATTATCAACATTTAAAACAGATGTGCTGCTTAATATTTTTTTGTGGAAACCATGACACATTTTTTAGAATTCTTTGACACATAAAAAGTTTCAAAGAACAAGAACAAGTCTGGTTTATTAACTTCAGAGATGCTTGAATTGACAACCAGAGATAAATCTTACTTCAGAATACGTATGGCATGGCTACAGCCATCTCCTTCGACCTGAACCCCTTGATGAGGAATCTCCATATTGGACAACTGCGAGAATAAAAGACCATTCAGTAAACACAAAATGTGACCTTTACAACGAATAGCTTCAGATAATATAACACTGCTTTCACCATCTAAAGGATATGCAGTACCTCACAGCGTAATCCGATGAGAGGCATGTTGGTGTCACACATGGCCACCAGGTGGGCCAGCTCCTTATTGAAGGCACACATCTCTCCTGACCTCTTGGGTTTCTTTGGTTCAATGGCACTTTGCTCTCCTGACAACTACAGAGTGACCAAAGCAAGACTTCATTACATACAATTAAAAGCTGAACAGCACAAAAGAAAAGGCACCCACTTCACCTCTTTAAAAACCACACAAAGTGGTTTAAAGGGGTCATATGACGTTGCTAAAAAATAACATTATTTTGTGTATTTGGTGTAATGAAATGTGTTTATGTGGTTTAAGGTTCAAAAAACACATTATTT